CACTTTACTGACTAGAACATAGAACGATATCGATTTAACATCCTTGACACATGACATGAAGACAGAAAGCTTCACACCTTACACCATCATCATTACAATGAGAAACAATATATCAAACATATATGTTCACAAGACATAAAACTCACAATCATTGGTGATTGTTGATGATGATAATCTAATATCTGTATCTTCATTGTCTAAATTATTATTTGTCCATGAATATAAATTTTGTGCCTATATAAAAATTAGAAAAAAGAAAAAAAGCAATGGATTGACCATCAATATTCATGATGACATTTAATATGATTCGGAATGAAGATGAAAGACATTTTCAGAATCGACAACAACAAATATCAATGAGGCACTACTTCATAAATTAAATATGACATTCAGTTATTCGAAGAAAAAAAAATATATCATGATAATCATGTTTATCATCATTGTATTTGTTTCAATCTATTCTCCAATAACAAGTCGTACATTAATTGAAACAACTAATTCAACTAATATATTACAAGAAACAAATGATGAATATTTTCATTTTAATAAATCTTATATTTCAACTCATCGTCTTATTTTTGCTAAATTTATTCTTTTATTTTTTCTTGGTTGTTTTTTTTGGATATGTTCATGTCAAATGATTATTCGACAAATCTATATTGATAAACAACGATCAAAATCTTCAATAAACATTCAAGAAAATATTAGTACTATTCCAATAAAATAAACATGATTAACATATGTCTTTACAATGATATGATGACAGTTTGATTAGTGAAAAGAAATAAATTTTTATCAATGAAACATATTCATTTCGTATTTCTTTTTCTGTTGTCAATATCCTTCATAATTATTCCTTATATTTTTTTTTGCCATGCTTCAGCCTGTTAATTGAACTAAATGCATAGACAACATTTTACATATACCTATAGGTGTCGAAACATTAACATTCGATGGATATCTTCAATGTCAAAAGTTTGTCAGACTCGTATGTAGTTTAATTGAGAATGGATATATTGAACATCAAGGTTATTACTCGTTCTATTCAAGGTAACAACTAGTCACAACAACAACTATAAATATATTGATTCAATATGAAAAGAAACTTGAATTAATGCGGATTATTAACCTTGCATGTTTCATTTTTTTTTCCCAAAAAGAAAAGAAAAGAAATTGATGTCTATAATTGTATGAATATGTATAGAAAATGAATGAGAAAAAAAAAAAAGAAAAAAGAAAGATGATATCTACTATTATACAAACAGAGCGATAATAACGTTCTATAACGAGGTGAGATGATAAATAATGATATCTAATTCAATTCGGACAGGTTGTTTGAACACGCGCGCCTGCCTATCCACACTTTTAACTTGAAGAATAACGTTATAGGAAAAAGAAAAATGTGTTTGTCAAACAATTTATGTCATTCACACATCACAAACGTATCATATCATGTCAAATTATGTCGATATCATTGACCATTTTTTACATTCATATACAAAGACGAATGATAGTTTTTCACACGTTTTTACCTCTACTTTATCCAAATATATACACAATACAATTGATTACCTTCGTCATATGACAAGGTTTTTTACACCTTCCATGCATGATTGTTCGATAAGATACAAACGAATAAAACTATTTCCAATTAAGATGATTATCCTTAATATTTCATTATTTATGTCTTAAAATCAATATCAAATCAAAAAAAAAGAGATAGATCATAACCATTGAGAAAAATACAAGAATAAACAATTAAACTCAAACATGGTTGTATATATATATATGAATTATATTTCCCTCGTGTCTTAGGAAAGAAAATCAACTGAGATTAAATTTCTATTTTTTTTCCTCCCTAAACGGAAAACCAATCAGAACAAAAAAAAAAGAAAAGATACATTGAAACTCTTCACGTACTTGGAATAAATCATTATTTTGATTATTTTCTATTCGAAGTACATCAAGGCCAAGTAAACATGTACAACATTGTAAAATCACTTGTTTAATTAATGTTAAATCTTCATAACGATTTTCAAAATGAAGTAAAAACCAATCAAGCAATAATTCACCTAAATATATATATATATATACGTTCATTTTTTATTGAACTCAAATTTTATTTAATATTCTACCAGAAAATTTTTCATAGTTATAATATTGTAAACATGGAGGAATTAATATTGGTGACATTAAATTATCATTAATATTATTTGTTGTTAATATTTGATCATTAAGATTATCATCACAAATTGTTGAATTTATTGATATAGATTTTTTAATATAACCACCAAAAAATTTTCGTAGTACATGTCGAACATAATTAACATTATTTGAACGTTTATCATTTGTATTTGTTTGATTACGAACATCTATTAAATTTTGTAATTGAATATTATTTATATCTAAATCAGGTGTTGTAGCTGTTGATGATAAACGTGAATTATTTGTTGATTTTGACATTGTTATAGAAGAATAAAAAGAAAAATATTAAATATTAAAAAGAATTTTTCTAATCAATATAGTTAATGTACAAGTGAATATTTGTTTGACAATATATCAACAAATAAAAACTAAATATTAACGTCATAAAGTTGACAGCAGCGATATAATAGAAGCAAAGAAAAAGATGTCATCAAATGATGGTCAAATTCTCACAACACATGAACAATAATTGATTCAAGTAAATGACCAATTATGATATAAATAGGAACATTGAACAAAATTTAGGAATAAAGAAAGAGGCGATGATAACATTTGAAATATATTTAAATAATAAAATCAACATTTGTGAATGTATCTCGATAAATGTAGATATATATATATGTCACAACTAATTCATAACGTCTTGATTTTGACAGTTTTTAATATTCATTGACGACAAATGATATGATGTTAATTTTAGAATTGAATATAATTAAGAGAGATTGAGTATGAAAAATCTGCATATTGCTATCTATTTATTTTGTTTTTTGTTCAATGCAAAAAAATTCTTCAAGTATTACCGAGGAAACCTCTTCAGTTATCTTCTTCCAATGTCAATGATTTTTTTTTGCCTATTGATACTAAATAGTGTTCTAATAAAAATTGCAAAAAAAGTTCAAGTTGGGCGAAGCTGTCGAATTATTTTTCTAGAAGTCTTAGATTTTCACAAAATTTTTCTTTTTGACTTTTGATCTAATATGTGATGCATATTGAAAGTCTCATATCTCGATGAGACATTCTTCAAAAATTGATCTATTACTATCTAGTATTTTAGTTAATAACTATAGTAGCTATAATTTTTTCTTTTATGCATTCATGCTATAAGAAGTTATAACATAGATTGATGCAGTGTACGATAGATAGTGGTTCTCATATTACATATAAACTTTGATAAGGTGCTCTTGTATTTAAAAATGAAAATAAGACTAAAAGTCTTTATGATCAAAAACAAAATGTGAGATGTTCGTCTAAATTCAAAACAATATTTCTAGAGAATTTCATTGTTCTGCTAAGTCATTTTCATTTTGAAGACGTTTGAAATCTTAATTAAATTTTGTTAATATCAAAATCTTAATGAACACTTGTTTTTTTTTATAATTGAACAATATCAGATTTATATTTACAAATATTTAACGTTCTCTTTCAGATTTGAAATGCCACAAGACAAAAGAATACGTAAAAATACTCATGCTGCCGATACTATCTGTGAAGGTATTGTGTTATATATTTTTTTCTTTCATTTTAATTTGAAATCTATTTCTTTAGATATGAATGATATTGCAACTGAAACAAAATATTTATTAATTGAAGCAAGATTCAATTTAACTTTACTCATTGCTTGTATATTATTATTATCTTTAATATCAATTTTATTATCAACATGGGTTGCTAAAACAATAACAAATAGTCCAACATCATTAGGTACAGTTTTTAGTTATTATTTTGGTTTACATCGCAATAATACTGAACAATATGTCACATGGTGGACACCAGTCCATATTACATCAAAAGAATTAATATCACAAGATTTTTCAATTAAAACTATTAATACAACAATAAAAACAGTTCAAGTAAAAATTCATTATAATGAATATTCAATATTTTATACGATTATTTTACCATTTCTTTTTGTTTGTGCAATTTTTCTTGCTATACTTGCTTATTATGCACGTGTTCAATGTACAAAACATGATTTTGCTTGGGGTATTATACCAAAACTATCATTAGAAAATGTTGATCCAATGATTGTGAAAAAATCTATTATTAAAACAAGAGAAGTTGAGTCAAACATTGATTATATTATTGTACAAGGAACAAAAGAAAAATCTGTTATGTTCACATTAGCAGATAAACTTCAACCATTATATGAAGAAGGAGATATTATTGATGAAGGAACTCAATATGAACTAGAAGATATTCTAAAATAAAAAGGTTAGAAAATAAAATAAATATTCTATTCTTTTAATGTTTCTTATTTAGAGTAACTACACATGTTTCATCTATATCTTAATTCTATATAAATATTGAAACTTTACTATCATGAATTCTATTAAAATATTATTTTATCTGTGTCAAATATTAAATCTCAAGAAATCTCATATATAATTAGTCAAATTCAATAATCATCTATTTGTTCTTAATTTTCTATACTGATATATATATATATAAATATATGTATGTTTTCTATTGATTTAGTTTTCTAACAGCAATACATTAAATTTCAACAATAAAATTTTCCATAGGCAATAATAATAGATGTTCGATCAAAAAAGTCGCTTCATAGAATTGTTATCTCAATCTTTTCGAAAATGAATCTTAGTATTATATATTAAGAAATCAGAGAAGCTTCCCTCTTCAGTCGCTATTCCAATCATCAAAAACAAATCTTGAACGAATAGATGCTTTTATTTTGTGTCTTTTATATTGTAGTGAATTAGTTCCACATATTTATCGTTCCAAAATAGGTCAATGCCATCTGTTTGCTTTGGGCAGTTATGCCAGCAAAATCAATGGGACTAATTTTTTTTCAAGCATGACGTGTCGGGTTGGAATGTTGGTGATAGCATAAATGAAATAGCTATTTGACATCCACAACTCTCTTCTTGATTTGGTATTGGTGATGAATCTAAATATATTTTATAAATAAATGAAGGATAATACGCAAAAAATAGGAATGTTCATCACACGTAGCAGTATGGCCTGTTCGTGGCAATTCAACATATATCACATCAGGATTTAAAACTGAATATTGTTTGTAGAAATGTCTCGATAATGGTACAGGCAGTACTTGTTCCATATCACCTGAAATGCAAGATTTGTTTAGTCTCTTTTAATTTGATTGATTTCTCTTTTTTTAAATACCGTGTAAAACTAAAACTGGTAGTCGAGTCTTTGTTGATGGATATTTTCTATAATATTGATCGGTAGGATATCCTAATATAGCAGTTGTTTGAGCAGGACAATAAATATCCGCCATTATATGTATGGGACTAAATGTGTTAGCTGACATTCCTTTCATGAAATCGCATGAGACTGATTTATATTTTCCATTGCCAAAAGACCAAAGTTCAGAAAAATCATTGTTGAATTCAATCTTTAAAGAAAATTTATATGTTTTGTTTGTAAATCTAAATAACAATCAACATACCAAATTCGATTGACCTGGTAAACTATTTTCATATATTAATGGTGTTTTTTTCGAGAAAATGTCAAATAACAATCTTATCATTGATATTACATCGATTAATTCGATAGATTAATGCTGGTATTAATTGCATTAGTGTCGGATAGAGTAAAGATGCTATCTGAAATATTTATTTTATATTCAATTAGATTGATAGAAGATTCATCTTATTTCTGTACTTTTTTGCCATTTCAATAGTATTTGTTTTTAATAATGAAAGACACGATGAATTTCCTTCGAATTCTTCTATCATTTGATATGAATAAAGTGCATGCATTGAATTTGAATTTGAAATCGATCAGAACATCCTTGTTTATCTTGAGCACATCGAGAAAATAGATCCAAAAGGATATAATTGATATATGGATCAAATTCTATTAATGTAATTATATCAGTTGGTACAATTGAATCGAGTATAACAGCATCGACTTGTTGTTTATTAGTTGTTAAATGAAGATATCGTTGTAGAAGATAAGTACCTTGACTTGATCCCATAATTATAACACGTTGATTTGATTTTAAATAATGACGATTATGACCAATGATAACATCAAGTACATATTGTATATTACGTACTGTGTTTGTAAATGTATTGTGTTTTAAACGATATCGATTTTGTTCAATATATGATAAACAAGCAGAAAAATTTGACATAATCGAACTAGGACATTCTAATAAACTACTTTGACCAACACTTCATTTGTCAGTTGCATATACAGATATTAAACCATGTTGTGTTGCTACAATACTTATGGCTTCATTTTCCATAACATATATAGGCAGACTCCCTCCACCTGAATGACAAAAAACCATGAGATATATAAACTTATTAAAAAAATAGAAATTTATTCTACCTGGTATTCGCCATAGATGATGAGAACTATTTTCATGACCTAATATAAAATAACGTTTAACAAAGATTTGCATGGTTTCTGTACAGGTTGTCCAATTGGTGATAGCCCATGTGATAGCCTCATTCCAATCGATAGGCACATTAATAAACATACACTCAGCATAGACATTATCTTTTGTTTCAGTCTAAAAATAATTGAACGATGGTTTATTAAAGAATTCCAATGTGACATACGCCATCAGATAGAACAGAACATTTAGACCAATTTGGTTCAATTATGGAAAATTGACCAAGAGACAAGCAGTTCTGTGAAGTAGCAATCTTGGCTAATAGGTACAGTAAAACCGATGTTCTTTTACCAAACCATTTTCGATCGTCAAAGCTCATCATTCAGTAATAATCTACATAAATGATGCTTTTGTTCTTTTGAATGGATTGTGTTTTATGATAAAGGATTACCGAAAGTAATTACTTCGAATGTCATTAATGATTCAGGCGAAGATAAAGATCAATAGAATATAAGAATTGGATGAAGTATGTTGAAAGAAATGACAGTTATGATAAATATTGGCTTAGTTAAATACAAAGACAAACACGTTTACAAAATTTCCACCAGATCGGCATACTTTACATCTTTTACTGAAGATCGATGAATAAAATACGATATTTACACCAATTATTTCATATATATATATCCTGTTTATCACGATATATGAATATATATTTTTTTGTAAGAATTATCTTCATTTTAAACCCAGGATATCGTTTGAAGAGAGTAAACATCTACTGTTTCATCATTATATCAATTGAATCTGTGTGAGTTGAATCCAAGTTAGATCAGCGATTCCTCAACTGAATATTTTAATTCAAGATATTTTTTGTTATTTTCACGGTTGGCTGTTTTTTCTTTTGCTCTGCATTGATACAGTATTATGCTATGTTGTGAGTGCGAACATCAGTGCAGTTTCTGGTGCACAATAAAATGTTCATCTCCAAAGCTAGGACTTTTGGTTGCTTTTACCTAGAATCGTTACTTCTAGTCATTAGTGTTATACGGTTAAATTAACACATGGAGAGCATTCAACAATGACGCTCGATTAAAATTATTCTTGTATTCAGCCACTGTTTATTAACTAAGTATATGAAAAGAAGACATCGAGTATGTACCAACATCAAACATATCTCTGTTGAATTCTATGCAATGCTAATAATTCCAATCAAGCTTCGATGCTTTATAACATTCAAACTAGGGACGTGGTTGTGGATGTGACTGTGGGTATTGGTAGAAGAAATATCCATATACGAGCACGTACGCGCATAACCAAACGCACACACCCGCATACACATACAAATCCAAACTCACACCCATACCCCAATCCATATACCTACACCCAAACCCACATAATTTCTTGTACCATAATCGCGATAAAATCTCATTTGACTACAGATTTTTTAACGAAATACAATTAATCACGATTTTACGCCAATTTGTTTCGGTTTTGTCAAAATCACCACGATTTTCACGACGATATCGATAGCTACCAAGGGGGAAAATGAGTGATTTTGTGATTTTTTTGACTTTAAAAAGCATACACCCCGAGCAAAAGTCTTTCCCCTCTTTCTTATTATGCGATTATGGTTCATATCAAATTTATTACCCACTAAAGATATGACATAAGAGTTTTATTTCAATGTATCACGTTGAAATAAAACTCTTGAGGGTGCGGGTATGAGTGAGATTGTGAGCATACAGGTAAAAAATAAATGAGCACTATCATCCACACATACAACCACTCGCATCCCACACCTACACCCAATGATGAATCTCAGTTATCACTGTGGACGTCACTTTATAGGCAGGCGTTATGATACTACCATTGGTAAATATTCTTTTTTTAGTAACTCTCACATCATTTCATCTTGAATTTTATCATAGAGTGAAATACATTGGAGATTCGAAAAAGCAGAGATTTTACAATATTAGCTAATCTTGAAGGGAATAGGACTAGTTATTTTTTAAAAGTTAAAATAGAATATATCTCAAGCATGTGTTTTATCAAAAGTCTTAGTTGAATCACAAGTGTCAATGGTATACTGAATAGACTGATTAAAATTTCAGTGATAAAGAGAAGAAATGTTTTGGCTGCAATATTTCGTGCTCTCACCGAACGTCTGTTATTGTTCATCTCTGCCCAACAATGTCAAATAAATAAAATGCTTGTTTTTCCTTGAATCGAAGTTGACTCGTTCAATTTTGACAGAACGACCCGGAGGAATGAGCACTTCTTGTTCATCAGGATAGGCAGACCATGGAGAGACGTCCAGACTATGGGCGAGACATTCCTTTTCATCTACAACGTTCAGCACAAATAAAACATTGCCAAATTGTTCAGCTAACTCTTGGCTACGACTGCATGATGTAAATGCTTGAAAAGATCGTCGCTTGTCATCGCTTTCAGCCACACAGCGATAGTCGGCAATGATATCATCACTCAGTTGAGCACCTCGGTACACGGTGGTACTTACTAGTCCAGATCTACCTTGATATGGGCTTACGTATGAAGCAAGAATAACAGCAAAAGGACCCAACGTTTCAAGTCTACTTTGCCATATATGCTCATGATCTTTGTCACCAACGAGGCGCATTATCTGATTGAGAACTCTGTAGAGGAAGGACTCAAGCGAATAGAGATACACGCAAGTTCTGCCAATTTCTCCCCATGTGCCATCTTTAACTTTGTTCAACTGTTCGACTATCCATTTGGCTACACATTGTTCACCTCGTAGTTTGCCTTCATGTAAAATGCCCGACATAGTTTTCTCCATTACTTCACGCTTCCGACAGGTCCAAAAATTGGACGGCTCTAAGCCCAATAGTTGTCTAGCTTTCTCAATAAATATTCGCCTTGATTCTACGAAAATATGGAATGAGCTGGTGGGTGCGATGGGGTCCAACGTATAGCGTTCTTTCGGCAGTGAACTCTTTTTGCTGTTTACTTCTACACGATTTATAGGGCGTTGATTAAATTTGTCGCTGTTTGATATTTGCAGTAGCTGTTCAAAGTTAATGTGATAATTGTCAAAGACGACATGGGATTTCTTCGCCACGTATGCTTCCTCGATTATCTTGCTTTCAATATCAGAATACCGACTCCATTCAGGTGTTTCTGTCGTTGCCCATGGATCGGGATTCGATTGCCATAGCCATTCTGCCTGTTGTTGCGTTAATTGTGGTTCTACAGGCGTGGATCCCGCTGATATTTCTCCCATGTATAAGAAATGTGTAAAAAACACCTTTTTTCGCTATTCGTACAAGATAAAAATGTGAAATACAACAGAATGACTTTAATCATAAAGAAGAAATCGTCTGTATCTCTGATAAATTCGATCAAGAATTCATGTGGCCTTGAAAATATCTGGCGAAGTTTGAACTATTTATTTTAACTATCCCTCATTACACTCATTTGGAGATGCTCAAACTGCAATCAGTTAATAAGTAATCGCATTAATCCAAATTGAAATTCATCTTCACATTGGATATGTGAATAGAGAGTTGCAGCTACAACACTCTTATCAGTGACGTTGAAATATATGAGTTGAATGTAAAAAGAGTTTTTGTAAGTATGCAAACGCATCATACCGCTTGTCTCTTTTAGGGTAGATGTGGGTCTGAAGATGGGTGTAGGCGTGAGTGTTGGTGGCGTATAGGTGCGGGTGTAGATATGAGTTAAGATAATATACCCGCACCAAGATGCATACGCATACCCATACCCATACCCACACATACTCAAGGGGATAACGACTGACTTTGTGACTTTTTGGCGGTAACACGGGTGGTGCACCCCAGACAGTTGCTCGCCGAACATTGCTCTCACGATACTTGCTTCCCAATGACAGTTGCTCCACGAAGCTTTGTTCTCCAATTTCACTTGGTATTGAGCTACGTCTTTCTCATTGACAAGTTAAAGATAATTTTTAGGAACTTAAAAATCAATGAAATGAAGGAGAGAATAAAATTATCATAAATCCATGCAAGAATTGAAGATGCTGAGAAATTCACGACATAATTTTAAAATTATAGTTAGTTTTACTAAATATCATCGAAGTTGAAAGAGGTAGAACCATAAGAATAGAACTGCATTGAGGAAAACAGAATAAATAAGCTAGTGAAATACTATAAACCGGTAACAGAACCATCATCTAAATAAAAGGAATAGAATGGCTATATTCTTTTCTTTTTCATACTTTCTTTAAACTACTTATGTGATCCCATATTTTTGCACTATAACTTATTAGTTAAACTCCACTTATTCGAAATGTAATGATAATTCAGTAAAACTAGCTATAATTTTAAAATTACGTCGTGAATTTCTCAGCATCTTCAAATCTTGCATGGATTTATGATAATCTTATTCTCTTCTTCATTTCATTGATTTTTAAGTTCCTAAAAATTATCTTTAACTTGTCAATGAGAAAGATGTAGCTCAATGCCAAGTGAAATTGGAGAGCAAAGCTTCGGGGAGCAAGTGTCGCGAGAGCAAATGTCCGGGAAAAAACTGTCTGGGGTGCACCATTCATGAATTCTTTTTTGGCTTAAAATAATTTTTGTGACTTTAATGACTTTAAAAACACACATACCTGGACAAATTCTGTTTCTCCTCTTTCTTATTAAGCTATCACACTTCATACACATCAAATTTATTATCAAGTAAAGATAATGACAGAAGAGTTTTATTTCAGTATTATCTGTATATAACATTGAAATATAACTCTTTTGTCATTATCTTCACTTGGTAATAAATTTGATGTGCATGCACTATGATAGCATAATAAGAAAGAGAAGGAAAAGAGGGTGTGGGTGTGGGTATGGATGTGAGGTGTGGGCATGGATGAGGTGTGGGGTGTAGGTATGGTTGGAGTGGGTGTGGGTGTGGGTGTGGGTGTAGTTCTTCTACCAGCCATATCCGCACACAACCCCATTCACGCGCACATTCCCCTCAGACCTAATGCGACATACTGTAAAAAAAGAGTAGCGTTTACAGTGATAGTGAGTATTCAATGGGACTGTTAATGAATATGACATTGAAACAAGAGAGAAAATTTATGGGCTGTCATATCCTTGAAAAATTAAAAAAGCATCAAAATCCATGAATTTGTATGCACCTTCTCTCATCGTTTATTATAACTGATCAAAATCTATAGAAGTAAAAGTTATGCTTTTCTTTTAGAACTTATCCGGAGAATGATTTAATCATTAGTAATTACTTTTCTTACAATATTCTATCAAAATACATTCGTTTATGTTATTTTATCTTTAAATAAATTGCCGTTGTCTACATACATGACATAATATTACAATTGCTTGTGATATCTTTTCACGGCTCATGAAAACAGATTTATCAAAGTGAAGCCGAATGCATATAAAAAGATTTTTATTATGATTGATAACTATCATAATAGCTTAAATTATCTTCATTTCTCGACTCTTCATAATAGTACACTTCAACTCAAGAGAAGACCTACTAAAAAGCCAGGCAACGCAGCTAGAAAAAAATTTTCTATTTAGGATGAAATTTTCTGAACACAAAAGTCTTGTAGCAAAATATTGATTTTACTTCAAATGCAATCGAGACCAATTAGTTGTTTTCTTTTCTCAATTTTCAATATCGTTAATTATTTGTAAAAGAAACTATTGGAATCCTTGATAAATTTTGAATGACAATGTTATTGAAATAATCCTACATATTCTTGTTATCACTTTTTCATTATCTCAATCATATAAAATGCTTCATGCTTTATATGATGTGATCACCTTTCGATAATCTTTTAATTCTTCAGATATTGCGATTCTATGAGTTCATACACCATTTTTTCCTTCTTTGATTTGTTTTTTTTATTTTTTATTGTTGGAATTTTACATATTGATTTTTTTATGGATATGTAGGTTTATGTAAAGAGAAGACCTATACCGAAATCTGAAGGGCTCGTTTGAGCAACTCTTCTATGCTGTCAATCATGCCTTACGTGAAATGGCTCATATTAATAATGGACTTATTTGCCATTTAATTCAGTACTTATAGTAAGAAAAACGTTAAATTAAGAAAAAAAAGAACTATGATAATGAAAAATAACGATCGAATGGCAACAATAAAAACGAACAATTGGATGTCCGTAAAAAAAGACGGAAATACAATTTGTGTTCAAAATGTGGAAATATAAAAGACAACATTTGCTGATCATTGATTGCCACGAGAAAAGAATTCTCATCGTTTCGAGGTTTTACGCTTTTTTTATTTTGTATCAGTATTATGAAGGCCAAGAACATTCAGTTCAACATTTTAGTTCTGATGGGCCTGTGCTAACAGGCTTTTACAATAAATTTCCTGTTTGTTGCTTTTTCTCTTGACCATCATAAGTTGTTGTGTGTAAGTTATCTATCATTGTATTTTATTAGGAATGTTGAACAAAACGACAGGACACGTGCAAAAAAATCAAATCAGCTACTTGATGTGTTGACAAATTTAAAAAGAAAAAAAAATCAATGGAACAACCTTCATTTTCAATAAAGATGATAAGATAGCAATATAATAATTAAAAAATCGAAGTTTTAATTTTGATTTAATTCATTTCTAATTAGCAATTGAGAATAAACAGATTCATTATCAATTCTTCCTGTATGAAGTCTATTATTATTTTTTCGTTTAACATAACGATTGTATAATATATATATAAATCCGAGGAGTACGAGAACAAATATAATTGAACATATCAGGAAAATTGATATGAAACCTTTGTCTATAAATTTTGTAGCTGTTTGAAAATTTGATTCATCATGGGTCCGTGATATTAGTAAGTTTGTATATTCACTAGAAACAAATACAAAATATGTTATAGAACTCGAGAAAGTAATTCGGTATTTCGAATGAACTAGAGTAATGGATATGATTGTTTGTATTGATAATCAAATCATGTGGACAGTCATAACCCAACTCTGATTAATTTTCAGTAAAAGAACTGCTTTTCAAATGATCATCAATTATTAAATAAAAACAACCAATATAATTGTTTATTGAACACTATTCGAAGCAAATAGAACAACATATGCTCATACTAATTAAGTTCATGGCTAACTACGACTTATTGATAGAAGAAAAGTTAACAATCGATGTATAGTTCTTCACAAGAGACATATTTAAGATACGGACTAGATAAATTTCTCAGTGAAGGCACATAATACGAAAAAAGTTGACCTTGTCCATCCGTATCCTGCTACTATTAGACTTATTCAACTAGATTATGTCTAACAGGCTATTGAACCCCTTCGAACTGTAGTCGTCTTAGAAATGTGCAGAGCATGATAGTCATCGAATGGAATAAAAACCGAAAAGAAATGTATTGATTGCATTAATTAATACTTGCAGATATATTCATGATTTCAAGGATCACACAAAAGCAGACTTCCGCATAATATTCTGTCGATATAGAGAGTGTTTTTTTTTGTGAGGATTCCCGACTTATCTAAGCAAATTTAATAGATTGAAAGAAGAGATCTAATTGTACACTGCATGCATCGTATTGATAACTAACCGTTTTGCTACAACAGCACGCGTTTTGACAATTGGTAATTTTTGACATATTACAGTTGCTGGTCGATTACAAGATATTTCATCACATGAAATCGATGGTAAGGAATCAGATCGAAAATCAACGTATGCACACATTTTTGATCGATTTTTCTCGTTTGTGGATAAATTTGTTGATAACATTAATTCTTCATAACGTTGATGAAATCTTCTTTCGCATAAACTATGAAAATCATTCAAATCTAGTAAACTTGTTAAAGTACTTCCATCGGTTGTGTTATATCGCATACGAGTACGATTTTGATGATCAGCAAAAATATCAATATGTGCAACACCAGATGATGTGTAACTATGTCGACGTAAAAATAAGAATTTTATCAAGGAGAATATTGTCCATTTTTCAGGTAAAAATAGCTTAGCATTATCACGTTCACATTCAGCTTTTGCATCATTCCAAGTAGTTTCATGAAAGGATACTTTGTAACAATAGTCATTCACAAAGTGATAATCTGTATCATCACCACATGAATAATCTATTGATGTATTAACTGATATGATTGATGAATCGTCATCTGTCGTTGAAGGAATTGCGGTTAAATTAAATTTGAGATGTTTATCGACACAAACTGGTATAGAAAACATTGATGAACATTGATCTGATTCAGTAAAACATTGTTCATAAATCCA